AAAATATGTTCAAGTTTGGCAAGTTTTAGGTTTTCCTTGGCGCTTCCTAAATGCAATGACTGCGTCAAAAATTTAATGAATTATTTTATAGCTCTGGTAGCTGGTGACCGTGTGATTATTTTAATTTGCCAAATCACCAAAGTGGCAATTTAGTTCTAGAAACTAGTTTAAATTTATAAACAAACAATTTTGATCATAAATAAATAGGCCGCTAGTGATATATTGATACAGCCATAGACATAAAAAATAAACAAAAATTATAGAAACATATTTTGTATTTTTGTAGAAGATAAGAATTCAGGGAAATTTTTTTAAAAACGTTGCATTTTAGTGCAATTTCCTGACATGGGGCTAAGGAGGGCCGTTAGTGCCACTTGGAAACATATTGTGATTATCATCAAATATTTTCGATTTAATGGAAAAGGACAATTGAAATTTCCGTTCTTATACCAGCAAATTAATTTATTTTCGGACAATAATTTTAACCAGGCCACTATAATTCCTTTGTTATAAAAAATACCATACGGCGGCTTATGCTAGAAGAAATTATATTATGTATGTAATCCTCGTAATTTCACCTTAAGACCAACTAGTGGAGATGATGGAATCTGGCATATATTTGACAATATATCATCAGGGTGAGATACAAAAAAAAAAAAAAAAAAACTGCAACAAAGTCAAATGCAATAATTTTTATATTTTTTTAAATTTTATTGAATGAAAGCAAAAAATGATGGAAATAGCATCAAATTTTAGAATAAGTTTAGACTTGTTCTAATTGGGCACCTTTGGCACGAATTATGGCCTTCTAACGGCCAATGAAACCGTCACACGCTGCCCGAATGTTGCTTCGCGGTATTTTGGCCCATTCCTGGCGAAGCGCTGGCTTGAAGTGATCGACAGTTTGGTAGTTTTTAGTGGCAACCTTGCTTTCCAAAATACTCCAGACACAATAGTCCCACGGATTGGTATCCCGAGATTTTGGCGGCCATTGTGAGCTGGAAATGAAGCGAAGAACCTCATTTTGTAACCATTCTAGGGTGGCGCGTGCTGAGTCCTGTTGGAATGTCCAAGGTCTGCGGCCGAAATGTTTGTGTGCCTAAGGCTTTAATACACCCTCTAGAATATTTTCGCCATAATATTCGGCATTTGTTCTGATGCCACGGTCTATTAATAGAAGCGGAGAGCAACTATCGGCTATTATGGCGGCCCACACCATCAGCATGACCGGCGCTTGAGTTCTGGTGGCCAACCGAAGGTGCACATTTTCAGCTTACCTCTTTGGCAAGTAAACACGATCATTTTGTTTGTTTACAAACTGCTGGACAACGAATGTTTTTTTTTTATCGGAGAAAACCGAATTCAGCAGTTCACCACTTTCGGCCAAGCGAAGCAACTCTTTAGCTCTTTTGAGTCTATTTCCTTTCTGTAACGGTGTAAGTTCTTGCACTTTTTGGAATTTCAATGGCTTTATTGGAATTTCAATGGCTATATTGCGATATGTTCAGCTCTCGAGCCACTTTGCTGCAACGCGTGTTTCGATCAAGTCGCTTCATTACTTTTCGAACCATTTCTGTCGATGATGCTGTTTTCTTCCGTCCACTTTAGACGTCGGGCTACGCTACCAGTATCACGGTAACGAGCGATGGTACGATTGCAGTTTTTTCATCTCACCCTGTATATTATGATTATCCTCAATAATTGGATAATCAATAAATTTCCGGTTTGGTGAAGAGGGCAATTAAAAGTCCAATTCTGATACCTACAACTGTCTCTCTTACTCTCTCTGTTAAACACAAACTATCATTGATAGAAGAAAACTTTCAGTTGTTTATAATTTCGGTATCTAACGAACGAAGTTCGTTGATGAGTTAGCGGTGACAATAAAGAAGGGCAAAGACCTACCGATGGAATTTTGTTTGTGAGGGTACGATTTGGGAAATCTCAAACGCAAAATGGGCATTTAAACAAAACATTAAAAGTTGACAACATTGTCTAGACCTATCGACAATGTTGTAATTTTTAATTTATTTTTGCTGAAAACATAAGAAATTAAGTAATTGGTGTTATCAACGACTGACGTTAAGGACCCAACACAATGTAATAGCTACATACCTATCAGTCTTCGACAAAATTCTTAAATATTTATACTTTTGGAGCTAAACGAAATCTTAAAGCAGACTAATCTTGGTGTATTATATGTAGACTAGTGGTCAATTTCTTAGCACAAAGAAGTTTTAAAGTAAATGTTCAAGAGGACTTTTCCTCAGACAAGGCATAAAAATCTGGCGTGCCAGAAGAGTCCAATTCAATATTGATGTGTCGAATTTGCCAAGACGCTTTTGATGATTCAGACATACGCGAATGACAAAACTGTCGGTGCTATCGCAGCACATACGGAGATCATTAAAATAAGTTTAAATGCATACTTGGTGCAAATACTGCCTTACTTAGAGTATGAGTTTAAAAAGCTTCAGAAGAAATATTTAATATCATTTCACGATATTATAGGACAAGAAATCGGCAAACCATATTAAAGATAAATAATCTCCTTAAAAACCAACAACGCTTGCAAATCATTGCTTTTTTTATCAAAATGAAATTTTATAGCGCTCTTCTTCCAATTTATAGTCTGTTCATTTTAGGCTGAATGGGTATTTAAGTAGAATTGTCGATTTTGGAGTAAAGATCAGAATTACAACGTCACCGATACGTAGAATGAACAAATTTAAAGGAATACAGGGTGATATGAAAAACTACAAACAAATTCAGACTGCTGTCATTTCAAAGGCACTCGTCCGACAGCTATTAAAATTCTTCTAGTGACAACTCATTATATTGTTTACAAGCGTGCAAAAGCATTTTGGCGAGAATTTTCCAGAAAAAAGTTATTCGTGATGAAATTGAAGCGTGATAGTGTGATCTTTTATATCTATAAAAGAGGAAAACAGATTTTTCTGAAAATTTCCAAGTATACCACAACATCGCCTGAAAGTAACATAGACTATATAAATGTTTGAAATTCCACTTGAAACTGGAGATATAGCATCAGATATAGCATCGGATGTACCTCCCAAAAATGTAGATTTTATATGAAAATATCTACTGATCGATTACAGATGTAGTGTCCAAATTTGAAATGTGCAACGGAATTTGAAACAAAAATAAATTTGCCAAATTATTTTGAAATCGATCCAAATTTGGATATAGCTCCCATATATATTTTCAGCCCATTTCATATATTTGATGCATTACACACGCTGTGTATGCCACAATTCAATGAAATTTCGAAAGAGTGATGGAATTTTTCTAGAAAATTATTTTGGCAAATTATATCGAAATCGGTTCAGATTTGGACATAGCTTCCATATAATTTTCGAACGATTCCGTTTATTTGATGCACCACCACGATATGTATGTTCGATTGCAATGAATGAATTTGGAATGTGTGACGGGATTTTGATCCGAAAATAAATTTGTCAAATTATATTGAAATCGGTTCAGATTTGGATATAGCTCCCATACATATTTTCGGCCAAGTTCAAATATTTGATGCACAAAGCACGATACGTATGTCCGAGTCCAATGAAATTCGGCATGAGTGCCTAAATTTGGTACACAAATAAATCTGCCAAATTATATAAAAATCGGTATAGATTTGGATATAGCTCCTATATATATTTTCGACCGATTTCGCTTATTTGATGCAGCAAACACGATATGTATGTTCGATTCTAATAAAATTTGGAATGTGTGACGGGATTTTGAACAGAAAATAAATTTGTCAAATTATATTGAAATCAGTTCAGATTTGGATATGGCTCCCATATATATTTTCGGCCGATTTCATATATTTAATACGTCAAATACGATTCGTATGTCCGATTCCAATGAAATTCGGTATGAGTGACTAAATTTGATACAAAAATATGTATGTTATGCACCAAACACGATATATATAACCGATTCAAATAAAAATTTAATTGGAAATCAGTTAAGATTTGGATATAGCTAATTTCATGTATTTTACGTACCAATTTCAATGAAAAATGGAAGGTGTGACGGAATTTGTTGTAAAAGTTAATTTTGTCAAATTATATTGAAATCGTTTCGGTTGGGATATGATTTTATTAAGAAGCATCGACCAATAATACCTTTGCAATGGTTTTAGGCTAACAGTAAAAAAAAATACCCACCAATTTAATTGAGAATACGATTAGTACGGGGAAGTACGTTTCTACCTCGAATTCTCTAATTGCAACATAAATGCCACTCAACTTTTAAATATAACTGTTTCCTGCACGCTTGACATTTGCTATGAAATTAATAAATCCGAAGAACAAACTCTTCGTATTAAAATCAAAAGAGCTAAAGTCTTGATTCACTTGCTCCGATGAGAAAATATTCGTTGCCCTGCAGTTTGTAAACAAACAAAATGATCGTGTTTACTTGCCAAAGAGGTCAGCTGAAAATGTGCACCTTTGGTTGGCCACCAGAACTCAAGCGCCGACCATGGTGAAGCTGTGGGCCGCCATTACAGCTGATGATCGCTCTCCGCTCGTATTAATCGACCGTGGCATCAGAATTAATGCCGAATATTATCGCGAAAATATTCTGGAGTGTGTATTAAAGCCTTGGGCACGCAAATATTTTGGCCGCAGACCTTGGACATTCCAATAGGACTCAGCACGCGCCACCTAAGAATGGTTACAAAATGAGGTTCCTCGCTTCATTTTCAGCGCAAAATGGCCACCAAAATATCCGGATACCAAACAGTTGGACTATTGTTTTCAAGGATATTTTAGAATAATTTTACAATTTCCATTGACCTGTTTTCATAAATCAATAATATTCCGTCTATATTCTTTTGATGCTTTCAGACAAATAAACGCCAATTAAACAATGTTTTGAAAATGTTGTGATGTACTTTTTTGTCAATTTTAATATCAAAACAATTGGAAAATAAATTTCCATCATATTTGAAGATCTATGATACGTACCTTTGTTTGTGTGTGCGTGGGTATCGGTGAGTGCTTCAAACAAAAAAATATTATCCAAAATTTCGAATTTTATCCAAATTTCGTATTTCTCGTGTAACACTTTCACAAACAATTTTGGGGTTTACTTTTGCAATTTTTTATTGCTTCTGGTAATTTATGCTTTGCTCGCCAACTACACGCAATTTGATCACTTGTTTCGAATCGAACCACACCTCTTTTTTTTTCAACAGGCAGCAGATACTTTTTGTGGCTTCTTGTCACTTAATGTCAATCGCTGTTGCTTTGGCTGTTGTTTATTCGATAATGTCAATTGTTTATTAATTAAAGTTTTTCTCTTGCACAAATTGTTAAACATAAAATACAGTTCAAGTTTGACAAATTTCAGTTTTAGATTATTTTTCGATAGATGTAATGGGACGATTTGTGATTTCAGGGCAGCAGCAGGTGGCGATGAAGAATAACTAACTCTCTTAACTTTACCCATCCAGGTGAGGATTGTAGGGGATACTTTTCGATTCGGTGGCAATCGATGAGTTTTTTGACGCAATAAAATTTAATTTTTTTTTGATTTTTTAGAAAATTTAGGATATTTTATAAAAATGTGCTAAATTTCGGACATTTCAGTTTTATATATTTTTTGGAAATGTTTGATTGCCGTCCTAGTTTACATCAATATTTTGTCCTTCTTCTACGTAAAAGTAAAAGTTTATTTCAAAAAATTTGAAAGGATCTAAAACGTGTTACACCGCTTTTGTAGGTTTACCGAACGTAACGCACAATTTCTTTTTTAAATTTTAGTTTTTTTTAATTTTTGACGTCAAATGATATTTTTCCTATTCTACAATTCTATATTTAGCCGATATTTTTTGTTTTCTATTTTTTTCTATTTTTGCCCTTTGCGAATATTTCAAATTCGTAGCAACTTTCCCGATTTTCCACTGAACCGAATATGTTTTTATTTTTTCTATGATCTCAACTCGTTTCGTATGGATCTCGTGTGGAATTCAATGACAGACTGAACTGAACGTACCATCCGCTCAATGGTTTTTATAGATGTTCTTCTGTTTGTAAATCGTTTGTTTGGAAAATACTAAAGGGAGAGCGAGAACAGCAGCGGATCGCCAATACACCGCCATCAGCATAGAAAATATTCTCTTCTTTTGTTTAAACGGCGAATTCGCCACCCGGCATGTGTGTGTTTGTAGCCCCACTGATAATTACAGCTGAGAATATGTTTCATATACGAGGTCCACTGACAGGCAAGCAAGCAGGCTAATCAGTAAACAATTGCTCCACATCTGGCGCCCAATGTTTGCTGGGCAGAATGATTGCTGGAAATTCTTTGTTTTGCTGTTTGTTGTGGCAAGTCGTTTGCAAGGGCTTATCTGTTCGCAAAAAATAGCAAAATTCAACTGCTCCATATTTTTTAATTGTAAATACACTAAAAATAGTTTTGAATATTTATATATAACGAAATGGACCTACAAAGAGACTTGAACGTAGAGGCTTTGTGGACAGAAAATATTTTTTATTCATCATCAGTGTGATCACAAATCTGACTCTGAGGAAACCATTGAAATATGTGATGTACTGTTGAGCGAGATAGGTCTGGGTGTGGGGAAATTCAAAATAAAGGGTACTTGAAAGTATAAACTGATGACCCATGGTATTTCCAATATTTTTTACGTCTTGACCATGTTTTCTATTTAATTTTGCCAAATTTTAAAACAAATTTTCGCCATAAATTTCAATGGAGGCTTACGTTTGGGGGGTGGGGGGGTCATGACCATATTTCCCAGATTTTTCTAAGAATGATGTTTTCATTGAATGTAGAAAACCTTTCGAGAGATGGTATTAATTATTTGTTTTGAAAATGTGTAGAGTTGTTGGTACTGGGATTGAAAAAACTCGCCACTCGTCCGACAACTGATAAAATTATTCCAGTGACAACTCATTATATTGTTTACAAGCGTACCAAAGCTCTAGAGCACTCCAGCATTTAAATGTGAATAAATCTTTTGTGTCTTGTACCATCGCCCTTCCCGTGAAACTGGTAGCTTAGCCCGACGTCAAGGAAGTGGACAGAAGAAAACGTCAACATCAGCAGAAATTATTCGAAAAGAAAACCTGCGTCGCAGTGGCCGTAAAATGGCTCGTGAGCTGAACAAATCGCAATATTACATTCGGCAAATATTGAAAAATGAGCTCGGGGTAAAGCCATTGAAATTCCAAAAAGAGCAAGAACTTACACCACATCAGAAAGAAAATAGACTCAAAAGAGCTAAAGAGTTATTTCGCATGATCGAAAGTGGTGGACAGCCGAATATGGTTTTCTCCGATGAGAAAACATTTGTTGTACAGCAGTTTGTGAACAAACAAAATGATCGTGTTTACTTGCCAAAGAAGTCAGCTGAAAATGTGCACCTTAGGCTGGCCATCAGAGCTCAAGCGCCGATGGTCGCTCTCCGCTCGTATTAATCGACCGTGACATCAGAATAAATGCCGAATATTATCGCGAAAATATTCTGAAGGGTGTATTAAAGCCTTGGGCACGCAAACATTTTGGCCGCAGACCTTAGACATTCCAACGGGACTCAGCACGCACCACCCAAGAATGGTTACAAAATAAGGTTCCTCGCTTCATTTCCAGCGCACAATTGCCACCAAAATCTCCGGATACCAATCCGTTGGACTATTGTGTCTGGAGTATTTTGGAAAGCAAGGTTGGCACTAAAAATACCAATGTGTCGATCACCTAAAGCAAGCGCTTCGCATGGAATTGGCCAAAATACCGCAGAGCAACATTCGGGCAGCGTGTGACGGTTTCATTGGTCGTTTGAAGGCCATAATTCGTGCCAAAGATGACCAAATCTAATCTTATTCTAAAATGTAATGCTATTTCCGACATTTTTGCTTTCATTCAAAAAAAAAAAACAAAAAAAGCAAAAAAAAAATTTTAAAAAAAATGTAAAAATTATGGCGTTTGACTTTGTTTCAGTTTTTTAATCTCACTCTGTATGGGAGTTATATCTAAGTTTTGATTGATTATCTTCAATTTCAATAGGGTTGCACAAATGGTTTGTGCAAATTTTTATCATGATCGGGCAATAAATGCGACCTGTACATTGTTTACAAAAACATGGAAGGACAGAAGGAAGGGCGGAGATGCATAAATCGACTCAGAATGTGATTCTAAGCAGATCATTAAATGAAATTTGAAATTTTGTTTAGAATCTTTCTTCTTTGGACACCTTCCACCTCAAACGAAATTTTATTAAACTTTCAGGCGTCAAATCGAAAAAAAGTCCTTTGAAAAATGTTTAAAAATATTAAGAAATATTTTCTTGTTTTTCTTTTTTTTGAAACATTGATGCAATATCTTTTGGCATACAATGAAAATACAGATTTCAATTCCTTGGTGGCTTATAGTAAAATTTGATAAAGAATATATTGGTCTTTGGAGTTTTTAACCATATTTTAGAAGACATTATATACCTAAAATGCACGGATTTCGAGGAATCTTATTCCGAAATTTTCAAAAAGTGTGGAAGGTTACTTTGCGATATAAACTTTTAAAACTCCCATACATGTGTCTTCTTTTTTATACCCTCCACCATACTATGGCGGGTACATTAACTTTGTCATTCCGTTTGTAACTCCTCGAAATACTCATGTCATGCCAAACAAAGTATATATATTCTTGATCAGCGTAAAATTCTATGTCGATTTAGCGATGTCCGTCTGTCTGTCCCTCTGTCTGTCTTTCTGTTGTAATCACGCTTTCGCTTTCGAACGAATTGAGATAGAAGGCTAAAATTTTGCACACATTATTATTTTTCCAGTAGGCAGGTTATGTTCGTAAATGGGCCATGTAGGTCCACGTTTTCATATAGCCCCTATATAACGGTACCTACCGATATTCGGTATTTTGATAATTTTAGCGACATTATTCACCGGAATTGTTTCAAATTTTGTATTTGAAGTTCGAAATGAGAACTACAGTCTGTGACAGAAAATTGTCTATACAGGTCCAGGTCTTCGTATAGGCTCCATATATCAGTACCTCCGTATATTCGGTATTTTGACTAGTTTAGGTACAAAACCCACCGAAATTGTTTGAGATTTCGTATTTGAAGTTCGTAATAGATGCTACAGCCTGGGGCAGAAAATTGTCTATGCTGGTTCAGTTCTACGCTCAGCTCCGATATAACGGTACGTCCCTATATACGATATTTTGATGATTTTAGCTACATTATTCACTGTATATTTCAAGCTTCGAATTTGAATTTGGTAATGACTTATGACAACCAATGCCTATGTAGGTCCACGTCGTATAGACCCCAATATAACTGCTTTATTCGGTATTTTTAATATTTGAACAGAATTTTTTAAGGATTTTATTTTTTGAAAATTTTCAAATTCGTTCCAAAGGTGGAGAGTATTCAAAGTTCGGCCCGGCCGAACTTACTGCTTTTTAACTTGTTATCTCTACTTTCATAATCTGCAGGATTTTCGTAATAGTTAAAAAATTTAAATTTTGTCGCATAGTGTAAAAGAACGATAACCATGACGAAATTGCCAAAAAAAAGTGACGAAAGTGATGGGAAAATGTAATAAAAGCAAATATATTATATACAAATAATTGAAATGATAATGAAATAATATTATATTTGAGAAGTCTCGCATTTTATTTAATTTTATTTCTCAATTTTTTGATGATCGTTTGTGTTTTTTAGCCCCTTTCGTTTACTTTTCCAGCAACAAAATGTTGCAAAATAAAGATAACAATGGTTTATAAATTGTTATTAAATTACTTATTTTTTTGTTTTGGTTTAAGTTTTCTTTATCTGCATTGTTTTTAATTTTAGTGGTTTCACAAGCTCAACATTTGTTTATTTACAAAACTACTGATTATTGAACAGCTGATGATACTGGGGAAAATTCCCCAGCAACTCATCTGATGATGTACTCATCTGATGATGCACTCATCCGATGGTACTCTCAGCTCTCTCTCAAACTTACTGGTCTTTTGGGTAAACGAAAAAAATCCAATAACAATTTGTACATATTAATTTCAATTTGATCTCTTCGATGTTTAGCAAATTCGTCGCAAGGATTTAAATAAAAGCAAGATAATTTTTCGCCTCAGTAACAAATTGTGACAAATCGAAAAATAAACCAGCTGATTTTCAGACAATTTGCCATTTACGACTCCTTTTAAATGGGTCTTGCACTCAATATAACAAAAAGGTATTGTAATTTGGGAACTTGACCCTTTTAAATTACATCAGCAGTAATTTCAAATTTCGGTAACTCAAAAAATATCTAATATAGGAATAGCCTCAATATAAATTAACTACCAAAATTTGAGAGTTTTAAGAAATAAGAAGTAAAAAATCAGAGCAGATCTTTGAATACCATCCACCATTTGGAACGAATTTGGAAATTTTCAAAAAAAATAAAATCCGTTAAAAATTCCATTAAAATCTTAAAAATACCGAATATAGTGACTATATTGGGTTCTATGCGATAACGTGGAACAGCATAGGCAACTTTTGTCATAAACCAATACAATATTCAATACGGTGTAGGGTGAGATAAAAGCTGCAACAAAGCCAAAGCAAAATATGTCGGAAATAGCATCAAATTTTAGGAACGAATAATGGCCGCTGACAGAATGTTGCTCTGCGGTATTTTTGCCCATTCCCGGCGAAGTCCTTGCTTGAGGTGATCGACACTTTGGTATTTTGTACTACCAATCTTGCTTTCCAAAATACTCCAGACACAATAGTCAAACGGATTAGTATCTGGAGATTTTGGTGGCCATTGTGCGCTGGAAGCGAGGAAACTTATTTTGTAACCATTCTGGCGCGTACTGAGTGCGATGGAGCTGAGTCCTGCTGAAATGCCCAAGGTCTGCGGGCAAAATATTTGCGTGTCCAATGCTTAAATATACCCTCCAGAATATTTTCGCGATAAAATTCGGCATTTATTCTAATACCACGGTGGTATAATACGAGCGGAGAGCAA